TTTGTGTTAGTATAGTGGTACGTTACTATGTGTTAGTGTAGTGGTACGTTACTTTGTGTTAGTGTAGTGGTACGTTACTATGTGTTAGTGTAGTGGAACGTTGCTATGTGTTAGTATAGTGGTACGTTGCTATGTGTTAGTGTAGTGGTACGTTACTATGTGTTAGTGTAGTGGTACGTTACTATGTGTTAGTGTAGTGGTACGTTGCTATGTATTAGCATGATGCTATATGCTAGTTTAGTCAAACGTTGCTGTATGTTTAAGACATTAAAGTGTTCCAAAACCACATCACAAGTCATAGTGAAGTATTTAGGACAGTAAGGTGTTCCATAACCACATCACAAGTCATAGTGAAGTATTTAGGACAGTAAGGTGTTCCAAAACCACATCACAAGTCACAGTGAAGTATTTAGGACAGTAAGGTGTTCCAATACTAAATCACAAGTCACAGTGAAGTATTTAGGACAATAAAGTGTTCAAAAACAACACAACTTGGTACAACACTCATCCACAAAGAGAATCCTGTAACCCAAAAAAAACCATGATCATGTGTCTGGCCATGTCCTTTGTACTATTGATAAGGTCACCAACAAGGATTTCAACCACTAGCCACAACTGAAATCTGTGCTGAAGAAACTGGAATCTCAGCAGTTCCATTCAGTGGCATACGATCTTTTGGGTTTTTGTGCCTTTAGTCCTGCTTAAACATTTTTTTAGAAGCGATGTTGTCTTGATTAAGATACATGTTACCCCATCATGGCTGACAGATTAATGATAATTGTTAGTGGAACGAGTAGTTCCAAAGACAGCGTGGTACTTGTAGTATCATAGAAAAGTGATTAACTGTTGTGATCAACTCTTCTGACATGGTTCAGTAGTAACAGTTTAGGAGTTAGTGTTGGCTTATTTTTATTTATCAGCAATCTTTTCTATTTAAAACACAGTTTATTATTTGTCATCCAGCACATTAGATGAGTGATCATTTACTTGTAAATGTGTTATAGAATAGCACATCTTTTATGTGAAAATATGCTACACAAGTTTCATAATATTGTATTTTTGTAAAATTTCATGATTTTTCTAATAGATTTGTTTGTTTTTTATCATTTCAGCTTAAGGACAAGGACAGACAAAGCATTAAAGATAAGTTCACTGTATGTACATAGTTAGTTCAAATGTTATTATAATGGGTGTGGTTTTTAAAATTGTTTGCCTTTCAAGAAGTACCCACTCAACTTATGAACAGTTTGAAAACAGATATTTGTGGAATAATAAATTTATTTCTCTACAATGTTTCTTCTCTAACAGTGAAACATAATCATGCACAACATTCAAATTTGAAGTACATCCAGTCAGTCAATTTAGTTTATGATACTAGCTCCCTCTGGTTTTAGACGTAATTAACTTAATACAAATATATTGGAGTTTCTGATGTTTTATTAATGTTAGTTTTTTAATATTTGTGGGGGTTTTTCTTTATATTCAATACTTTAATATTTTTTTCATGCTGTTTTTCAGTCATTTGTTCTTTTTCATTTGATATTTTGCTTTTCATATTTCTTGCATAACGTCATTAATTTCCTACCTAATTTTCCTATACAGAAACTTTAGCAATCTGTTTTACACCATTTTTCATTATTATATAACTTTGGTGGAAAACATTTTATACGAGTTCATGTGATTTCACTTTATACACTTAATTTGTACCATAAGATAATTAATGTGTCACTACAGATGAAAATGATCCATAAATATATTTCTTTTCTTGCTCTTCTTTGGGGTTTTGTCAGTTCTCTTGTTGTTTTGTATGAGTTCATTTTTTCTTGGATCGTTGTTTTCTTGATTATGTCATCCATTATGCTTAAAGGGTACTCATTTTTTGTTTTGAAACATTTTCTTATGTTTTTCATATTTTTATTGGTTCTTAGTCTCAGTGCTGTTATTATGCATTCTATTACATTTTTACTTTTTTATCATGAGTAGAAAACCAGTTTACAAAAGTTCCATCTTGAGTCTTCTTTTGGTAAATTTTCAAACTAAATGGTTCCTTTTTCTTTGGAAGTTTTTATACAACCATTTTTATGTTGTGTGTTAATGTATTCAAGAAAACCAATAATTTCTTTTTTCTCCTTTTAAGCTACATAATATATTATTAACATATCTTCACTAGAAAACTGGTGGAAATATAGCTGTATTAATGGCCTTTGTCTCTATGCTGATGACGAATAGCATTGCTAATACTGGAGATTGTGGGCTTCTCATTCCTAGCCCTTCTCTTTGTACATAAAGTTTTTATGAAACATAAAACAGTTGGTAATTCCTAATGCCAATAATTGTTTCATATTTTCTATATTTATATCATCATTTAAAGTTATTACATCCATCGGTATTTGAGTGTACATTGACTATATCAAAGCTACATAAACTACTATTTGAAAAAGTAAAACAAAACATGGGAAACGAAACTAAACATGAATTTGATGATCACTAATCTTTATTTATTTTTAAGAAATACAGAAGCAAAAATGTGACAGTTATATGGAGCACCAACGATACATAAAGATCCTTATTCACAGAGGCCAATCATATCAGTGTATGAGCTTCAAAAATGAATTCTGTAAATCATTAGCTTGTGTCTTAAAATGTTACACAACAAAAGAGAAAATTATTGTGTACAACTCTTATAAAGTAACAGGCAATCTGAAGAAAGAAAACCCTAATAAATATATAGTTGCCTTATGTTTTAGATGTCTAAATGTTTCCATATAAGAACAAGTATGTTCCACTTCTCTGCTAGCCAGGTTAAATATATGATAGTCTTTATTAAGTGTAGCTGTTCTTTTCTGAGGGATTTGATTTCACCAACTTTTTAGGTAACATATCTTTTCATTATGGTTTTGGTTACTATACAATTTACTATCAGCAGAGTTAATAACTGTCAACAGGTAGATAAAGTAAGACATTTCTCAACAGTAAGGACATAATAGCAGCAGATCAACATGCTCTAACAGAAGCTCCAAACAAAAATGTGAAATAATGACAAGAAATCCATACATTCAACAGAAGCTCCAAACAAAAATGTGAAATAATGACAAGAAATCCATACATCCGACACAAACTCCAAACAAAATGTGAAATAATGACAAGAAATTCATACATTCAACAGAAACTCCACACAACAATGTGAACATACTAACAACAAATCCATACATTCAACAGAAACTCCACACAACAATGTGAACATGACAACAAATCCATACATTCAACAGAAACTCCACACAACAATGTGAACATACTAACAATAAATCCATACATTCAACAGAAACTACACAACAATGTGAACATGACAACAAATCCATACATTTAACAGAAACTCTACACAACAATGTGAACATTAGTTTATGTTTATAGTAGGTTGTTTAGTTTTTGTGATTATTCCAAATATCCATGTCATCAAAATATTCATTATCATTTATTGTTATTATTTTTTATTAATTCAAGTTCATTCTACTTAACCAGCTAGTGGCGATACTCATGAAAATAATTAACTAATCTAAATTAGTGTTTTTTCAATTATTAATATTTTCATTATTTCAACTATCCAAGTCTCATGTGAATAATCAATTATCAGATTCCATTACTCATCCATTCACTCTAGGTCTCACCATTTACAATTATCAGATTCCATTACTCATCCATTCACTCTAGGTCTCACCATTTACAATTATCAGATTCCATTACTCATCCATTCACTCCAGTTCTCACCATTTACAATTATCAGATTCCATTACTCATCCATTCACTCTAGTTCTCACCATTTACAATTTCTAGCGTTAAAATTCAAGGAACTTTAGTATATAGTTAAAATATTAAAATACACAAACAATGTTTTATAATACACAATTAAAATATTTATTTAAACTAATCAACGGTTGTAAAAGTCACTCTACATATTTCAACATGGTTTCATGTTATCTTCAGGAGTATGAGAAACATTTACTGTATGCTATTATTCTTCACTTTTCTATAAACTTAAATAAAATAAATACCTATATCTCCAGAATGTAACTTTATCAGCTCAATATTTCGCTATTACAGCTTCGTCAGGAGTTATCAATATCCTACAAGTACACTAGTACAGTTAAATCTAAATTGGAACACTGTCATTTGTAAATCTAACATTGATACAGGTGTTTAGAAAGTTCATATTATATAAAAATATCAAACATTCTTGGATTTATATTATTAAGACAAATCAAACCAACAATATTAAATAAATAACGTGTGTAAACCAATAAGTAAACTATTAACATTATTGGGTTTAGAATAGAATACGTTATGTATCTAAAACATTTATTCATATTTGTATTGGTAAGTATTTTTTCATCTTATATCAATATATACATAAAACAATGTCTGAACATATATTTCAGTCCTTATAAGCAGGGGAATGATGATAGTGGAAAAAGATATATCATTATTGACTACCTCCATGGGATTGATAAAGTTTGTAATAACAAAGAAATGTGGGAGGAGGCTAAGAAAAACCTGACGACTCTTTTAAGAAAAAATGCCTATCCACGGGAATTTATACAAAACATAATAAGGAATTTTGGTAGGCAAAAAGAAAATAGATTCTCTTGAACCGTAGAAATAAAGAAAACACACTTAAAGCTCAGGCTACTTGGGTGATTCCATATATAAGTGATAATATCACCGCAAAACTAAATAGAGTAATTTACTGTATGCTATATATGTACAAAAGCCATGGTCATGTGACACGTTTACAATTCAAAAACGAACTACATACTTTCTGATTTTATAACCCTTCATCCTTATTAAAGATCAAGTTCTTTTTTGATGTGTTTCATTATTTCAGTAGTTTCTCTAATATTTATAGCAGTTACGTTATTCAGTTGAGCCAAAACAACACCTATAACATCATAAAACTCAGCTTGAAATCTGATCATAAAACTATCTGATGATAAAGTGAACTGTCCTTGTCTAAAATATTAAAATTCACAAACAAACAGTGTTTTATAATATACAATTAAAATCTTTATTTCAGAATAAATGAACATGTAAATTATTCTGGACATATCATCCAGTGGGAAGAAACTGTTATTTTGGTTCAACCAAATAATATGACTGCTAGAAATATTAGAGAAACTACTGAAATAATGAAACACAACTTGTGATCTTTTTTGAATTGTAAACTAGTAGTCACATCACCATGGCTTTTGTACTTTCATAGCACACAGTAATTGTTTTTAACTCTCCTGAAGATGACATGAAACCATGATGAAACATGTAGAGTGACTTTTACAACCATTGACCACTTTAAATAAAGATCTTAATTGCGTATTATAAAACATTGTTTGTGGGTTTCAATATTTTGTATTCTAGGATTTCATCTAATTTGTTTTTCTAAACATTGTGTTTTAGGGTTTCAACTAATTTTTTGTGTTGTAGGGTTTCAACTAATACTTTGTGTTATAGGGTTTCATCTAATTGTTTACATAAACATATGATTGTTTACTTAAGTTTGTGTTGTAGGGTTTCATCTAGTTTCTTGTATTGTAGGGTTTAAACTAATTTTTTTGTGTTGTAGGGTTTCATCTAGTTTCTTGTATTGTAGGGTTTAAACTAATTTTTTTGTGTTGTAGGGTTTCAACAAAGAGATAGAAGAAATTAGTCGAACTCAGAAGGGTTATGCGATACCCGACGTTGAGCTGAGAGAAAGCTTAAAACGTGATAACAAAGAGTTTATTCTTCCCAAGTACCAACTGTTTTATGATAAGTATGTACACAGTATGTTCCTTTATAATTGTGATTGAAAGATATGTTAGTTATGTTTGAATGTGTTAATTTCTATCAGTGAAACAAAAATTTGTTTACACTACATAAATCCTTTCTTATGTAGATATGTGAAGATCCCCTTCACCAAGAATCCAGAGAAGTATATAAAATACACCCCAGTTCAGGTGTCTGACCACATTGACAAGTTCTTCGATGCAGCTGCCTAAATGAACACTTTCAAAACCAGCTTAGTTTTGTATCATTGTCTTTGTAAATAAAGCTTAATGTCAGCTGATTACTTGCTTTTATTTCCATCTTAATTTTGCTCCAGGCTTTTGGATTCCTGTCTAAAATGCACTGTACCCACCAGTGTTACATCCCTTCTTGGGCTTTTCATTGGGTTTTACATACTAACTGTTAGAGAAGTTACTTCTATGGATCCTGATAGATAAAGAATCAACCTAAATGTAAAATAAACTTTATTCACTGCTAGACATGTTACTTGTATAAACCCTGATAGTCAAACTAAATGTAAAGTAAACTTTAAGGGACTTTCCATTGGGTTTTACATACAAACTGTTAGAGAAGTTACTTCTATGGATCCTGATAGATAAAGAATCAACCTAAATGTAAAGTAAACTTTAAGGGACTTTCCACTTATTCTATGTATTTATTGGTAGATAAATTAATGTTAATAAATAAATTGAAAAAAAATACATTAAAGCCAGCCCTTATTGTTCATATACTGATCAAGCTTTTTCTTAAACTCACTTAAACATCCGAAGGCAACCCATTCCAAAAGCTCACCACCCTGTTAGAAAAATAAAACAATCTTAGCTGAATATATTTTTTGTGTCCTCTAGTCTTACCGTTCTTACCATTAAATACAAAAAAAAGATGATTTATCAACACTACTAATTCCCTTAACAATCTTAAACACCTCAATCATATCATATCCCCCCCCAACTCTTCTTTTTTCAAGAAAAAACGAGTTGAAGAATTTCAACCTCCCCTCAACCCATCCATCCCAGGCACCATTCTAGTAACCCTTCTCTGAACCCTTTCCAACAATTCAATGTCTTTCCTAAGGTAAAAAACCCAAGACTGCTCACAATATTCCAAATGTGGCCTGATCAGTGACCTGTACAGTGAACATCATCAATCAAATTACTTCAAGGAAAAATTGCGAGCTTTTCAGATGATCCAAAATTTGGTCCTAACAAGTGCCCTGTTTACCTAAAACTACCATGGATTGGTAACATTTCAACAAAATTTGAAAAACAACTGAAAAAGGACATTATTAAATGTTTTCCTGCAGAGAACCCCTACTTATTCCACATGTAAGTTGTTGCCTGCAACACACAAAGATGCGATACGTACCACACAGAAAAGTATGGTTATTTATGAATTTTCGTGCCACTGCAAATGTCGGTACGTAGGTCGCACTTCACAAAGATTGCAGGATAGAATTAAACATGTACCCACATCCATAAGAACTAAGAGTGTGAAAGAAAATAATTTACCATGTTGCTCCTGTAAAACAAAAGTTCTACCATCAAAATGTGAATTAATGATTGGCCAGCATTTACTAGTGAACCCGACTTGTGCTGACAACTACACGGATAGCATGTTTGAAATTATTGCAAATGGTCGGTCGACCTTTCATCTCTCTGTTTTGAAAGCCAATTTTATTAAAACACATAAACCTGTTCTTTGCCGCCAAAAAGAATTCCTATACAATCTACAGATCCTTCAGTAGGTCTGTGACATTTCCTGATTGGCTAAAGGACATGCCAATCAGTGATTGCCTTACCGGCCTATGTTGATCTGACTCATTTTATGAGCTGTACTATTTCCTATAGACCATTTTCTGAAAAGCTTCAGCAGCTATTGCCTTTGCAACATCTCAACGAACAATTGG